TCCCTTATTTAAGCGCACACTAATTGGTTGGCGAATGTGACCGTGTGTAGGCCTCATCTGAAGGTCTTTAGGGCCCTGGGTTGTACTGGGGTGTCTCTGAACTTGGGTACGCCTCGAAGGATGCATTAGGTTTTTCTTCATTTGTGAATTGGCTTGTCTTAATGTGAAGCTTAAGGTCCCTCGAGATGTTGCTGTCTCTTGAGCAAAGGTAATACTTTGGTGAATGCAATCTCTAAGGTCTTAATTGAAACTGAGGTGAACTTAAGGATTTTTAACAGTTCCTTTGTACATTCTGTGTCCTGTAGATGCCTGAAGAGGTGCACCATGGAGAGGAGGAGGTGGAGACTTTTGCCTTTCAGGCAGAAATTGCCCAGCTCATGTCTCTCATCATTAATACCTTCTACTCCAACAAGGAAATCTTCCTGCGGGAGTTGATCTCTAATGCTTCTGATGTGAGTGCTCCATTTTTCCCTCCTGGAATGTTGTGGTACTCCCCTCCCCCAATACTGGTGAAGACAAAGTGAGTATTTGTTGGGGCTGCTGTTAAAGGGGGTAAGCAAGCAGTTCCAAAAAGATAGCCTTTCACTTTGGTGGCCATCTTTGAAAGGGGAGCCTCTCCGTCAGGGGTAAGTGGGACGCTGTGACTGGTTCTTAAGCTTAGGGTACAATGAGAGTTTAGACTATTTGGGAACAAAACCCAAATTGATCAATGTATTTCTTCTCCTTACAAGATTTTCTTTGGATGAAACGAGGGGCTAATTAAAAAGCAAATGTAAGAAAGTGGTTTGTATTTACAGGCCTTGGACAAGATCCGCTATGAGAGCCTGACAGACCCTTCCAAGTTGGACAGCGGCAAAGAGCTGAAGATTGACATCATCCCCAACCCTCAGGAGCGTACATTGACTTTGGTAGACACAGGCATTGGCATGACCAAGGCTGACCTCATAAACAACTTGGGAACAATTGCCAAGTCGGGCACCAAAGCATTTATGGAGGCTCTTCAGGTACATGGTGTTTTCATCTGTGCACATAGGTTTACATTCATTGTGTTTCTGGCTTGGCTATTTATTAAAACTGTCTGACTTTCTAAAACTCTTGGTAGGCTGGTGCAGACATTTCCATGATTGGGCAGTTTGGAGTTGGGTTTTATTCTGCCTATTTGGTGGCAGAGAAAGTTGTTGTGATCACAAAGCACAACGATGATGAGCAGTATGCCTGGGAGTCTTCTGCTGGGGGATCATTCACTGTCCGTGCTGACCATGGTGAGTTGGCTTCCCTGTGTGGTTGGCTTAGGGTCCTCTGGGGGAGCAAACAAGTTATGGGCATCCTATTTGTAAAATTTCGCCAACAGTTGTGCTTTTCATAGTATGTCTATGGTGATAGTCTTGGTTGGCTCTTTCTAGGGGAGCCCATTGGCCGAGGCACCAAGGTGATCCTCCACCTCAAAGAAGATCAGACAGAGTACTTGGAGGAGAGGCGGGTCAAGGAGGTGGTAAAGAAGCACTCACAGTTCATAGGCTATCCCATCACCCTTTATGTAAGTATGTGTCAGAGCCCTTCTGCAAGTGCCACCTGCCGTTCTTCCCTAATATCATGTCCTCTGAAGTTAACTGTTATATTTGATACTTTAGTTGGAGAAGGAACGAGAAAAGGAAATCAGTGATGATGAAGCAGAAGAGGAGAAAGGTGAGAAAGAGGAAGATAAGGATGATGACGAGAAGCCCAAGATTGAAGATGTGGGCTCAGATGAGGAGGACGATACTGGTAAAGATAAGAAGAAGAAAACTAAGAAGATTAAGGAGAAGTACATTGATCATGAGGAACTGAACAAAACTAAGCCCATTTGGACCAGAAACCCTGATGACATCACTCAGGAAGAGTATGGAGAGTTCTATAAGAGCCTCACCAATGACTGGGAAGACCACCTGGCAGTCAAGGTGAGAGAAGTGTTGGGTATCAGGTTGGAGATGAGAATGTAGACCTTGCTTAGCTGGTTAGTGGTTGAGAACTGTGAGACATGGAGCCCCTTCATGAGTTCACATCATTGTGACCTACAGTAAGGGGCATCTGATCTCTGCCCAGTGACCAACTTTCTCCTGATAGAAACTTGGGTAGTTGGGCTGGGGATTTAGCTCAGCAGCATAAGCACCTGCCTTGCAAGCAGGCAGTCATGAGTTCGATCCCTGGTACCGATAAAAAGATTAAAAAATATATACAGAAAAGAAACCTAGGTAGTCTGTTGCCTGTGGCAGTCTTGACATGTCGAGCTCTGATGCAAGCTGTTTAGTTCATCTGAGAATGGCATACAGCCTGGCTTGGTTGTGGGCATTAAGAGTACAGTTTTTAGTGTGTGGGTGGTGGCCCCCCCCTTCCAAGAACTGCCTTGGTGTTTGTCCCTTGTGCTAGGAAGAAGAGGATCATTGTCCCATCATACTTTTTTTTTTTTCTTTATCGGTACTGTGGATCGAACTCATGACTGCCTGCTTGCAAGGCAGGCGCTTATGCCACTGAGCTAAATCCCCAGCCCCCATCACACATTTTTCCCAGAAATGCATGGCTATTTTATTTATCTTGTTGGATTTCTTTTAGCACTTCTCTGTGGAAGGTCAGCTGGAATTCAGGGCATTGCTATTCATTCCTCGGCGGGCTCCCTTTGACCTATTTGAGAACAAGAAGAAGAAGAACAACATCAAACTCTATGTCCGTCGTGTGTTCATCATGGACAGTTGTGATGAGTTGATCCCTGAGTACCTAAGTGAGTTTTTGATCCTGGGTGCAGTGAGGTGGGCTTTGGGCTCTAGAGCATTCTTCTGGGAATAAAATCTTGAGACTAGCAAGTGAGTTGGGCAAGCAGAATGCCTCGTTGGGACATGGTGTGGCCACATCTGCTCCTACTGTTTTTACTGAGCTTTCTGCCCTGGTTGGTTGCAGATTTTATCCGCGGTGTGGTCGACTCCGAGGATCTACCCCTGAACATCTCCCGAGAAATGCTCCAGCAGAGCAAGATCTTGAAAGTCATCCGCAAAAACATCGTTAAGAAATGCCTGGAGCTTTTCTCTGAGTTGGCAGAAGACAAAGAGAACTATAAGAAATTCTATGAAGCATTCTCAAAAAATCTAAAGGTAGGGAGACACGTACACTTAACAGTCTCTTTGGCCACTTTATTTAATACATGCGGTGTATTTCTCATGGATGATTTTCTTCCCCTTTTTCTCCTTAAAGCTTGGAATCCATGAGGACTCCACCAACAGGCGACGCCTTTCTGAGCTGCTGCGCTATCATACCTCTCAGTCTGGGGATGAGATGACATCCCTGTCTGAGTATGTGTCTCGCATGAAGGAGACGCAGAAGTCCATCTACTACATCACTGGTATGTCCCACTGGGTCTGAGCAGAGCTGCCTTGGTGAGCAGGGTGGCGCTGGTAGTGTGAGGCCTTTCAATGCGTGAGTTCCCTTTGCATACCCTCAGGCGAGAGCAAGGAGCAGGTGGCCAACTCTGCCTTCGTGGAGCGCGTGCGGAAGCGGGGCTTTGAGGTGGTGTACATGACTGAGCCCATTGACGAGTACTGCGTGCAGCAGCTCAAGGAGTTTGACGGAAAGAGCCTAGTCTCTGTGACTAAGGAAGGCCTGGAGCTGCCTGAGGATGAGGAGGAGAAGAAGAAGATGGAGGAGAGCAAGGCCAAGTTTGAGAACCTGTGCAAACTCATGAAGGAAATCTTGGATAAGAAGGTTGAGAAGGTGAGCTGTTGTGGGATTGTGAGACTCAGGGGTGTCAGCTGCCTTGAGGCATTATTTCAGCTTCTTGTGAGAGTAGGGGTTTAAATCCCCTTGTTCTCACTACTCTTGTAAGCAGTCATTTCATCCATCCCTAACCCTAACCCTAACCTAAGGTGGCTTCTGGATTGAGACCATTGTCACAGATCTGTCCAGGTTGGCTTCAGACTCTTGGGCTTAGATCCTCCTGCCTCAGCCTCCTTCACTAGCAAGAACCCTGTGTGTGCTACACTGCTAAAAATAAGGTTTCTATGACTGTCTCCAGGTGACAATCTCCAATAGGCTTGTGTCTTCACCGTGCTGCATTGTGACTAGCACCTATGGTTGGACAGCCAACATGGAGCGGATAATGAAGGCCCAGGCCCTCCGAGACAACTCTACCATGGGTTACATGATGGCCAAAAAGCACCTGGAGATCAACCCCGACCACCCCATTGTGGAGACCCTGCGGCAGAAAGCTGAAGCTGATAAGAACGACAAGGCTGTCAAGGACCTGGTGGTGCTGCTGTTTGAGACCGCACTGCTGTCTTCTGGCTTCTCCTTGGAAGACCCTCAGACCCACTCCAACCGAATCTACCGCATGATCAAGCTGGGCCTGGGTAAGTGGGCGCTGAGCGGCTGCCGAGGGGCAACATGGGTCTCATGCCATCGTTCAGTTCTTAATGAGCTTTCTGTGTTGCACAGGCATCGACGAGGATGAGGTGGCTGCAGAGGAGCCCAGTGCTGCTGTTCCTGATGAGATCCCTCCCCTTGAAGGGGATGAGGATGCATCTCGGATGGAAGAGGTTGATTAGGAAGAGCACTCACTGTAGGAAACCTGTGCCCTCTGTATAGTATCCCCACGGCTCCCCCAGCAGCCCGAGTGGCCCTGTCTCACCTTGCTCCTTCCGCTGATGTCTAATGGTTTCTTTTGCCCTGTGTTGAAAGCAGGAAGCAAGGGTCTTGAGCCCTGTCCTCTCCCTAAGTTGGCAGCAGGGTTGTATGTTGTGTATTGTGATGTTATTTTTTGTTATTTTGTTCTAAAATTAAAGTATGCGAAATAAAGAAGATGCAGTTTTATACAGTTCTGCTCTCTTTTCACTGCTTACTCTCTTAAGTGTACCTCACTTTCCTGAGCATAGCAAGGTAAACTGGATTCTTTCTGGGGAAGCCAGCTACTGTAGCCACACTGCCTTGAGTTAACACTGTACTTGTCATCCCCTCCAGGCAACCAAAACATGGCCAAGTCTGTTGCAGCAGTTTAATAAAATTATAAGAGCAAAAAGTGACATTTCCAAAGTACCAAAACCTGCACCTGCCTTGGGCAGAGCCTCAGCCCAGGGGCACAGCAGCAAGCACTGGGCAGGGCTCCCACCCCTTCCTGGCACAGCACCGTCCTCAGAGAACTACCCCTGGGAAGCAGCATTTAGATTTGTGCTTTTCTCACTGAGTAAGAAATGCAGGTCAGGTGGGGTCTGAAGGGAAGGTAGCCAGGTGGGGGCCAGCACAGGTAAGGGCTGCTGGCAGAGCCCACAGCTGGACCAGACTTGATCTGAAGTGACTGCCATGGGAGACTCCTACCTGGGGCAGACATGTGGCATGGATGGCCTAAGGCAAGGGAGGCTGCCTCCGGGCCTCCACCCCACCTGCAGAGCCAGCCTGATACTAAGCCACATCTGCCCTGGAGCCAGGGCCTCTGGAGTGGCAGAGGCCAGAGAAATGGCCACATGAAGAATAATCCTGTCACCTAGCCCTTGGGCCCTCAAACCATTTGTACAGGGGACTCAGCAGGCACAGCCTTCTTTCCTCGATGCTTTAGCCGGCCCCTGGCATAGACTCTGAGCAGCAGGGCAGCAAACACCACTGCCACCCCCAGCCCGCCCACCACAGTGACAGTGTGGCCATAGAGCAGGCAGGAGAGGAGGATGGCAATGGCCTGACGGAGCGTCATGATGATGGTAAAGACAGTCGCCCCAAACTGGCTGATGGTGTAGAAGATGAAGAGCTGGCCAAAGGCAGAACAGATGGAGAGCAGGAGGGCATGGGCTGCAAACTCGCTGTGCCGCCCCATGAAGCGTGTCCCCTCCAGGAGGGCCCCCTGCTGTAGGAGGGAGACCACTGTGAGGACACACGAGAAGCAGTTGACCCCAAACATCATCTGCACAGATGACATTCTATAAGCAAACAAAGTGTCCTGCCAGTTAGAAGTGAAGCTGTCACAGGCGATATAACCTGCCAGTAAGATGAGGCCCGAGAGCGTGGTGGCTGGGGAGCTGCGGGGCTCAGGGCCGCTAGACAGCAGGAACATGCTGACCCCGATGGAGATGAGGCCAGCTGTCAGGTATTCCCAGTGCTCGTAGCTGCGCTTTGACACCAGTTTCCCCATCAGCATGACGGGGATCACCTTGGAGGCCTTGGCCAGCACCTGTGTGGGGAAGCTGACGAACTTGAGAGCCTCATACTGGAACCAGCTGCTGAGTACATTGGACAGACTCGCATAGGAGTACCGGTACATGGGTGCCCCATGTCTCGGCTGTTTACAGAGGACACAGGTGAGGCCTGCCACTAGGAATGCCAGCACTCGGTTCATCAGCACCAGGAACTGCGAGTCTGTGAAGCGCTCGCCAGGTGACGTGGCTGTGGCCCCGTAGCTGCGGGTCATCACTCTTTCCTGCAGCACACCCCACGTCAAATAGGACACCTGCATGGTGGATGGTGGGGACAGGACACAGTAAGCAAGAGAAGGGAATGGCAGATGAAAGTAGACCATAACTGCCCTCTTCCTCAGGATGGTTCAGAACAATACATGTTACATGTGTTTTTGTTCCTCTATAGCAGAAGTCTCCTCCCCATTGGAGGGAATCCAGTGTGGGGAAAACATAGTAACACATGCACTGGGCTGCTGGGACCAGTCTGTGCCACAGCATGGGTCAGTGCTAGCTTCATCCGAAGTGTGTTCCAGTTTCCAACCAATCCGGAGGCACACTCAACATGGATACAAGGTGGATTGGTACTTCCCTACTCACTCCACAGGGCTGTGTGGTCAGCATCTTAGCATCCCTCAAGCAAGGTAATGCCCCCAAACTTCTATCTGTGCATGAGACACAATGGTGCAGGCGGAAAGTGTGATAACAGCCTGGCACAATAGAAATAAAAAAAATGTAAGATACAGGTCCCCTGCAGCACCAGGTATGGTGAAGTGATCATGTACAGTTAACCTTCAGCGCCAGCACTCACTAGGGGTAAGAGGAAAGACTTCCTCAAACACACCCATGGGTATGTTTGTCCCTGGGAAGAGGAGGAGGAACAGTAGAACGCTGACCTCCCCACCGAGGCCCAACGCAGAAAGAGGGCAAAACCTGCTACATACCTGCAGCCCCACTGCACAGAACAGCAGTTTCAGGGCCTGTCGAGTAGGGCTGGTCTCTGCTGGCTCCGTGCGGGGGGCCAGGGGGACCTCATCGGAGGCCTTGGGCTCATTGCCAAATACACAGGCTCTTACCAGGGGGAAGAAGACACCTCTGCCTGAAGAAGGCAGCAAAGTCAGCTCAGAAGCCCCTGCACAGCCCCGCCCGGCTCTGTCCAGGTCCCACTCCGGCCTGACCCGTCCCGAACACCTGTCTCCAAGTAGTTGATCCGTCTGAAGTACTGCACCAGGAGGTAGCCAGGGACCAGTATGGTAGCGTAGCCCGCGACGTTCACCAGGAAACGGAAGAGCCACAGCTGTGTCCACGACTCCGGGGGGGCCTCGGGGTCCCCGCCTGCGCCCAGGGAGGGCAGCGCCGCCAGCACCACCACCGCCCACCACCTGCGGGCGGGAGCAGCCGGGCTCGGGCGGGACGCCGGGGACGGAGGGAGGGAAGAGGCAGCCTCCGCCCGCAGGCGGACAAAGTCTTCTCTCTCTGCGGCCACACAGGTCCCCTCTGTCCCGCCCGCAGCCGCCAGCCACACAGGTCTCCTCTGTCCTGCGGCGCCGTGCCCCTCCCCCGCCTCCGCCCCGAACCTGGTCCCCGGCGCCCCATCCCTGCCCTGCCGACGCTCTTAGCGGTCCAGCTCACGCGGGCCCCATGTCCCCGCGGCTCCGGGCAGCGCCACGCGGGCTGGCCTGGCGCGGGGACCCCCACCCCGCACCGCGGGCCCTAGCGTTGTCACGTGGTCCAGGCGCGATCACGTGCCCACCACGCCGGGCCCCCACCTGGTGTTCATGGCCGGACCGTGGGGTCCCCAGCTGCGCTCCCTCCGCTCCCTGAGCTCCCGCCGCCACTGCCACCGGCTCGACAAGCAACTGAAGCCTTGTGTGCCTGCCCTAGCACGGGTGCCCGCCGATGCCACAGCGCCCCCGCGCGGCCCGGAGGTGGCACGACAGGGGTCGCCGGTCTCGGCACCCAAGGCTCCTCACAACTGCTTTTTGGGAGGGATGAAAACTCTTTTTCTAGTGGGACCAGCAGTCCTGCCCCCTAGTCCCCGTGAGCTTCGAAGCTCCGCAAGCACTACTGCCCCGGGTTCCATTGGGGCCTCACTCCGCAGAGTGCCCCGCCCACCCGCTGTCCCCTCCCACCAGTGTTCTTAATGGCACCCTTTGCAAGCCGCAACTGGTGTTGCGATTCAGGATGGTAAAGGCCGTTGCATTTGCTGGACCCCACATGCCCAGGGTCACCAGCACAGGACCAACCGGCAAGGTCCGTGTGGCAAGAATACAGAGAGCACGTGAAAAAGAGGCCATCTCTGCTGCCCTCTGGGCAGGACTCCCTCCTCTGGGGCTGTCTCCCATTTCCTTCTCTCCCTCCAGCCAACACCCCAGTCAGTAGGGCCCTACCCTTCTCAGGAGCCATAAGGTCTCAGGGCAGCCTGCCTAGGTACACACACAAACAATGCTAGAATGGAAACGCTTTCAAGTCTTTGCTAGTATTTTAGTGTCATTACTTCAATGTCCTGTTCCCAAGGTCTGTGCAAGGCCCTCTGTGTGAAGTCTTTAGACAAAGGTGTTTTCATTTTTTTTTTTTCCCCAAAACTGGGGGTCCAGCCCAGGGGCCATCTACCCCTGAGCAATAGCCCAGTCCTTTTTATTCTGAGACAGAGTCTCACTAAAGTGCCCAGGCAGGACTTGAACTTGCAGTCTTCTTGCCTCAGCCTCTCTAGTAGCTGGGAATATAGGCCTGCACCACCACCAGGCCAGACTTGAATTCTGGTCAGCAGGAATGTGGGACCCCTGGGGCCCTTGCTTTGCTGTTTCAGTCTCTTCTCACTTGGGAGCAGCCAGGCCTTCTCCCTGGATGGTACCACCGACAGGGTGCCGATGTTGGTAGAAACAACAGCCCTTGCAATCTCCAAGGGGCACACGGGCTTCACCAGGGCACCTTGGGCTTTGGGCGTCCAGTCCACCAGGAGCTCTCCTTCCAGACTCCTTTCAACTTGGGACTGTGCTGTTCTAGGCTTGGGCCTCAGTCCCTAGGACGCCAGAAGGGCAGCCAGCCTGAGTCCAGGCTGCAGCAGGGGCGGCCCTCAGGCTCCCAGCCCTACCCGGCTTCAGTCAGCACACAGCAGCGGCTTCCCTGAAATCTTCAGATCATCGAAGGGCAGGAGAGTGAGTGGCTGAGGAGAATGGAGGGCAGCAAGGTCAGGACTACCAGGAGCCACTGCAGAGGTAGGGACGCGGCTAACTCACTAGGCCACCCCTCCCCCTAGACTGAGGGACATCAGGGAACACATCTTCACCATCATTCCCTAGTCATTCCCAAATCATGGGCCGTGGGCCAGGCGGGTCCAAGGGCTCCAGGAAAGCAATCTATGGAGGAATCGCTGAGACAAGAGGAACCTTAAAGGTGGCCCAGCTGGTGTCCCTGTGTGTGGCTGTTGTTGGGGGATGGGAGAAGGGTGTCCACAAACCATTTAGAACCTTGTGTGTGATACTGGGGATTGATCCCAGGGCCTTTACATTGAACTACATCCCCATCCCTTTTTAAAACCTATTTTTTGAATCAAGGTTTCCCTAAATTATTAAGTTGTTTGGGGAGGGGTGGAACATGAGATCCTCCTGCCTCAGTCTCCCAGAGAACTGAGACTGCAGACATCCACCCTCATGGCTGGCTGCATGGGACACTTAAAAATAAGGAAGACAGAACAGAAAATCTGGAAAATCACCTAAAAAATTCCAAGAGCTGGAAACCTCAGCACATTCCTCCTTTGTAAATGCAGCTGAAGCTAGGTGGCAACCTCAGGCCCAGGACTCCAGTTTCCTGTAAGCCTTACCCCCACAGGGCTCAATGCACACTTGCCTCTCCCCATTCGCTAGCTGAAGCACCCTGAAGGTGTCCCAGTGTGGGCCCTGATCCTGACCAACTAGGAACCAGGCTCATTGCAGGGCTGAGGTGGGCAGGGTAGTTTGGTGCTAAGTGGTGAGCCCTAGTTACACTGCAGACTTCTAACTCCCTGCCCTGGTTATGACAGTCCCCATTGCCTGCCTCAGCTATGGGCATGAGAGGCCCCCAGAGCAGGACAGAACACGCGCCTCTTACATCCTCAGCCAGGTCCTGGGGTGTCTCATCCTCCACATTCAGCAGCAGGGCGTCAGCACCAGCCTGGCACAGTGTGTAGGAGATGCTGCCCAGGCCACGGCCAGCTGCCAGGTGCAGTGGTGTGCAGCCGTTGAGCATGCGGGCATCCACCTGGGCACCTGCCTGCAGCAGGAATTGCACCAAACCCCGCTCCTGGGTTTCCACAGCCAGGTGCAGGGCTGTCTTCCCACTGGTGCCCTCCTGGGGGGGACAGGATATCAGCAAGGCCCCTGGGGCAGTGGGTCAGGCCTGTCACTGCAGAGGGGAGGGCCCCTGGGTGCTGGGCTGTCTTCCCACTGGTGCCCTCCTGGGGGGGACAGGATATCAGCAAGGCCCCTGGGGCAGTGGGTCAGGCCTGTCACTGCAGAGGGGAGGGCCCCTGGGTGCTGGGCTGTCTTACCTGGGCATCGATGTCAGCCCCATTCTGCAGTAACAGCTCCATGAGTGGCTGGTTCCTCTGCAGGGTGGCGATATGAAGGCAGGCCAGGCCTAGGGGTGGAAGGTGGGGTGCTGATGGGCATCCGGGCCATTTGCCCCAGGGGACCCGCTGCCCACCCGACATCTCTCATCACAAGATAGTTAAGGCCCTAAAACTCCCACAGGAGTCTGAGGGGAAAAGACCTCAAAGTTTCCATCTCTCCGAGTCATGTTATTGAAACTGTCATGCTTCAGGGCTTCAGACAGCCTGTGACAGCCCCCGACACACACCCTGCCCCAAGATTCACCCCACCCACACACACAGGGACCCATGCTCACTAGGATACTATACGTCTTCAAGCCCAATCCTGGCTTCTCTGAAAAACAGGGTCAGGAGACCCTGTTATCTCCAGCCTTTCTAGAGACCACTTGATCCTGTGGACTCCCTTGGCATTATGGGTTGTTTTCATTCTTTTTTGTACTCTTCTTTTGGGCCTTAAATAGAGATTCATAATTGAATTTATATGCTTTGCCTCCTTCAAATTCCTGTTTGTAGGCCTTGGGCTGAGTCCTTCCTTGACCACCCCACTTAAAAATCACATCATTGGGGCTGGGGATTTAGCTCAGTGGCATAAGCGCCTGCCTTGCAAGCAGGCAGTCGTGAGTTCGATCCCTGGTACAGATAAAAATGAAAAAGACAAAAAAAAAAAATCACATCATTTCTCCCCCCAGCTAGCACTTGTCCCTTTGAACATGCTGATAACGTGCTTCTTATATTTATTGTCTGTCTCAGACTTCGTTTTGTGCGCAGATGCAAACCTAGCTCCTAGGAGGCCCTCAGTACACTTCTGTTGAAAGAAAGAGTTTATCTGGCCTCTATTTAAGTACCTTCCCCTGTCATTTGTAATACTGAGGATTGAACCCAGGGCCTTCACCCTAAGCCACATCTTTTGCCTCTCACTCCCATATTTTGAGACAGGTCTCCTATTGTAGTTCAGGTTGGTCCTGAACTCATATCTCACTATGTAGCCCAGGCTGGACTTGAGTTTGTGATCCTCCTGCCTCAGCCTCCCAGAGTTCTGAGACTAAGAGGTATGTAATCATGTTGGCTTAAACTAAATATCTCAAGAATAGGATTTAGATTTCTTCTCAAGGCACCATAGATGTTATATAAATTCTGACTCATTCATTCATTCACTCCTTCATTCATTCCTTTTTCTGGCAAAGCTGTACTCAGTGCCCAGATGCTATGAGCTGGAGAATCACTGGGGACAAGATGGGACCTTCCCTTCTCTGAGGCTGGGGTCCCCACCTGACCTTCTGTCCCCTACCCCATAAACCTTGGGGCTGCCCGCACCTTGCCAGTTCTGTAGCTGGAGGTCCAAGGGGTGGGCTGGTCCTCGGCCTGGTTCTGGCCGTCCTTCCAGCAGGCATCGGGCACAGGCCAGATGCTGGCGCTGACAGGCCACATGCAGAGCCGTGTCACCATGCCGGTCCTGTAGCGTCCGGCTGGCCCCTTTCAGCACCAGGGCCCGAACAGTACTCGGCTGATCCAGATGCACAGCCAGGTGCAGAGCAGTCTGTGGGGACAGCAGAAGGTTGAACAGAATGCCTGGGGCGGTCACAGCAGCTCCACGTGCCAGCCCCACTTTTGGGAGCAGCTGCTAAAGCTCATAGTCCTGGCCTCCCAAGCCTTTCCTGTTACCCCACCAACTTCTGGAAGCAGAGTACAAGAAGTGTCCCTTCCTCTTCTTTAAATCCCTCAACCTCTGGAGAAAGGACATGTGGGGCCAAGACCAGCCCAAGCCCCTCACTCTTGGGGAGACTTGTGTCACTGGGGTGGGGAGGAGAAGAAGGGTCATCACGCCACCTCCCCTTGCAGCCTTTCCCATAAGGCTCCATTCAGACACCATCTCCTACACTACACCTTCCCTGGGAGCTGGTGTGTGACCATCACAACTCCAGTTACCTGTTGTGTGACCCAGTAGTGCAAGGGCTGTGTCTTGCATCTCTGTGCCCTCAGCTCCCACCTGTGCCTGGCAGGGCACCCACAGGTACCTGGGACCGCCTCCTCCTGCACTCACCTGGTAGAGGTTGTTCTGAATGTCCAGGACCTCCTGAGGCAGCAAGGCCAGGCAGCACAGCAGCATGGCTGGGGCCTCATGGATTACGGCCAGGTGGACAAGCCTGGGGCAGGGGAAGGCATAGGGTCAGGGCCTGGAGTCCAGATGGGCCCGGGTCTTGGGGCTGGAAGGCACTCATCAACCTCTAACAAGTGCAGATGACTTGGGTGCAGGAAGTAAGAGCTGGGGCCAGGAAGTGAGGGTGGGTGTGCGAAGCTAGGACTCAGGGGAGGGAGCTCCAGGTTCCCTTAACAAGGGCTGGTGCTGGGTGGCACACACAAGCACAGTAGGGTGCTGATGGACAAGGGCCTTCCTGTCCAGCCTGCCCTACCTCATGCGGCTCCACCCCAGGGCCCTGCCAAGCCAGCTGCAGCTGAGAGCCAAACTGAAAGCTGCAAAGTGATGCGAGGGGGTTTCCAGGGCTGGGCTCCCCACCTCATCAGGCAGGAGGACGGGGAACAGAAGTGGGGTTCCCCCAGCACCTCCCAAGAGAGAGAACAGCTCTTGGAAGAGGGATGAGGAGAAAGCGGCACTCATACTGCTGCTCTGCCCTTCCCAGGGCATTGCAATCCCTTCTGTGCTCCTGTGCAGTCCAGGGCACTTGTGTTTGTCAGGAGCCAAGAGTTATAACCTACGGAGGGAGGGAAGTCCCAGTTCCGGGGTTTCCCCACATCAGGTGGGGGAAACGAAAGCAGGAGCTATAGGGTCTGGGCTTGGCAGAAGTGCGGAGCAGCTGGCTACCATGGGCGGGGAGGGGGCTGCACCGGCCACAGGGCCAGGCTTCAGGCAGACAGGCAACCCAGGAGAGAGTGACAGGGAGGGAGAGACAGCTCTGGAAATCCCCTCAGTCAGGGCCTGCTCTGGGGCCACATTCCTGCCACCACCTCTGTCTCTCCCTGGCTCCCCTCCTCCCACTTCCTCTTCCTACTTTCACATACCTCTCAGCCCAGGAAGACAGGCCACCTCTTGGAGGGGACCCGCAGGGGAGCAATGACACGACCCCCTGCACACTCATGCACATACATACACACACACACACACACACACACGCATGTGCAAAGCACCTGTCTCTGACTAGTGGGGGTAAAGCTAGAGCTAAAAGGCCAATGAAACAGCAGTGTCAGAAGTCCTCACTACTGGGTTAAAGGTCAATTATGAGACTCTGGCATGGAACCCCCACAACCTTAGGGTTCTGGGTCTGGCATACAAAGGCTCTGGGTCTCCTCCCTCTTACTGGGGTCAGAGGCTCTTCAGCAATACCTCAGATGAAGATCCTTGCATCTCCAAAACAGATGGTCAGGACAGGTTCCCCCGTGTACCCTGCCCTTGCTCATTATCACCTCTAATCTGGGGCTCCAGCCCAGCCTCTGTTCCTCACCCCAAACTCCAACCGCTCCCTCCTCTACCAGTGTCATCCGCTTCCTGGGGCCAGTCCTCAACCAGCTGACCTGTCCCACACCATCCCTCTTTGTCCAGCTGCCCTCTGGCCCAGACTCCACCAAACTCCACCTGGGTCTTGGGGAAGGGGGAGTAAGGGGAGAGGTGGGATAGGACAGCGAGAAGAAGGACTTCAGGGGCTCAGAGGTGGCGCGTGTTGGGGAGCCTGGCTCCAGCCCTCACTTCCCCTTTCTAAAGAGGAGGAAGTAGACTGGGGAGCCGGCCACCTCTGTCTGCAGGGGCAGCAGTGCCCCACTGAATCACCCTCTTGTTCCCAGGGTTGCCCCAACCCTGCACCCTTTGCCCTGAGCTTCCGAACCCCAAAGGACAACCTGTAGCCTGACGCCACTTGTCCTTTGAGACGGCCATTCCGAGGTCAGAAGCTGAGAATCCCAGATGTTGAGCAAACGAGGATGCCCCCTCCCCCAGCCAGAAGAAAACAACTGGACCAGGCCGGGGAATTTTTCTCTTCCCAAGGGGAAAACTGGGAGATTTCCAAGATGCAGACTCGGGCTCCGAGTGCTGGGTGGGGCCCCTGATGGCTCTGCCTTTTCCCATAGTAGGCACTCTGATGCCAGGTGCTGGGTCAGGGGCTTGGCGACAGCTCAGAGGAGTTCATATGGAGTTTGCAGAAGAAAGTAGGGACTGTCCCTTGAAGGACCTCGATGGATCTCCGTGGTGCAGGTGGGAGCCCTGGACAGCTGCCTGCCTCAGCCTAACCCATACTCACGTGTCGCCGTCCTCAGAGATGTAAGTGAGCGCTTCGAGCTGCTGGGCACTCAAGGGCCCCGCGTGGGGCAGTGGCGAGCGAGGGCCGGAGTATTCGGGCTCGGAGACCCCAGGCAGAGGCAGGGGCTCAGCGAGCGAGGCGGAGGCGTAGGCCGAGTAGGCGCGCTCGCTCTCCGCGTTCTCCTTGGGGGCGCTCGGTGTCTCCGGACCGGACTCCGGCAGCGAACGCAAAGAGCGCAGAGACTCGATTCCCGAGTCGCACTGGCTGTCGTCCGATTCCGCCAAGTCTTTGCGAGTTCCAGACATGTCGCCGACCCCTTCCCGGTCGCCGTCCGCCGGCGGCGGCCAGGGCGCCGAGCTCCGCCGCGTCCACCCCGCCGACTGCGTTCGCCCCGCCCAGCGGGCCGGACACGCCCCCAGCCACGCCCCCGATGGCGCTTCCGGCTCGAGGACCCGCCCCTCCGGAATCCCCCGGACCCGCGCTTGCGTAGGCCGGAGTCATGGTTACCGTTCTGACTCACGCCTGCGGTGATGAACTCCGCGTTCATTCATTCGCTCTCTTCGCCTTTCTTCACTCCATTTATTAATTCCGTGCGTTCATTCTTTTACTCCTCCATATCTTCTATTTATTTATTCACTTATTCATTCCTTTTTAAAATTTTTATTTTACAATGTTAAGGGTTGAACCTCAACATTGAAGGATGGCCTTCAGTACATCCCCAACTCATTTTTGCAGCATCTTGATCACATTCCTCGTGGGGAATTAGTAGGTGTGCTTAACGAATCTCAGTTTTGTTTTCACCCTTTTCCTCTCCCGTTCCTTCGTCATTTGGTCCTCTTCCCTTTCGCAAAAGATCTGTTTCTATTATCTTTTATTTTGCTCTTTAATTTACTTATAATTTGTCACTCCTTTGTTTTAGAGGAATATTTATTAATTTTCTGCACAAATTGGACGCTTGGGGTGGGATGGGGCACTGCTTCTCATTCTCTGCTGGGGCCCAGGAGTATGGGTGGAAAAGAGAACCCATTAGAATCTTTGGGGAGCAGGGCTTCCTGGGGGCGCTGCACACAGGGCCTCCTGTGTCTGTTTCCCACACACAGACCAGGGTGTGGGGCTGTGTCTCTGGAAAGTGGCTTTTCTCAGGCAGCCCACTGTCTAATGAGCCAGTGGTCATGGGCCTCCTTCCTCCCCAGGGTAAACCAGTGACCTCAGGCGGTTGTGGCAGCTGGCCCCTCCCTCTCAATGGTCCGGGAAGTTAACTTCCTCATGGTGGGGCTGGGATGGGGAGGTCCCAGGCCCAGCCCCAGCCCTAACATCTTCTCTGCCCCTGCTTTCCCTGTGTCCAGGGAGGACACCACCATCCACAGATAAGCTTCAAGCCAGCACCTCCTAACTTGCTCTTACCCATGACTCCAGCTGCCATTGGCCTTGGCCAGCAATGCTCTTAGAGGATCATATCCAAAGGAACAGCTGCTTGTATATGGGGGAACTGAACACAGGGCCTTTGCACTAGCTACAACCCCAGGCCAGCTTTCTAAAAACTTTATTTCGAGACATTATCTAAATCCCTAAGTTGCCCAGACAGGGCTGGAACTTGCAAAGCTCCTATCTCAGCTTCCCAAAGTGCTGGGATTAAACAAGCACATGCCGGCCCACTCAGGTTCCTTTTCATTTCTTGCTTTGGGTAAAGAAGTTGAATGAATCTAGGCAGCTACTAAGCAGTGTCCTACTGCCCCTCCCCCTGCAATCTCATTTTATTCATTCATCCATTCGCTTATTTCACAAAACACATATGAGACTTCTGCTATTTGCCCGACATTGTTCTTTGCGGGAAGCACAACCAACTATTACAGTAACAGTCATAAGCGACGCCCACATTCCACCACCATGAAGAAATTCCAAGGTCCAGGCTTCCTGGCAAGTGGTTTCACCAAGGCATGGACAGGACCAGGTGTAGTGGGGCACACATGGCCAACTAGTCAGTGGGGTGAGGGGCAATGAAGGTTCCATTTGGATGAGAATGGAAAGGGAGAAGGGTGGGAGAGGGAAGAAGGGCTTGGTCTTGCCCCCTGTTCTCCATCCCCTGCAAGACCCGAATGGTGAGAATGCCTTAGGCAGGAGGCTGTGAGGACCACTGGGGACAGCAGGAAGAAATGGAAACTTCCCCTTCCTTTGGGGGCACTTGGGTGCAGCTCAGGGGTAGAGCACATGTCTAGCAAGTGAAAGACCCTGAGATCCAGTGCCATGTCTTCCCTTGGGGCCAGTGTGATGTGATCTCAGATGTCCTAGCCTCCTCCCTCTTTATGCTCCCCTCCCTTTCTCAAAGTCTGCAGGAGCATCATCTGTAGATCAGTTGGTCCAAATGTGGCACAATATCTCATCTTAATACAGAAAAGCTGAGGCCCAGGGAGGTGAGCTCACTTGCCTGAGGTCTCCCAGCCAAGAACTACAAGGCCGAGATCTCTTGACCTAACCCAAATCCTGAAGTTTGTTTCAGTGAAACCTTCCTTTGTTTTTCTTTTTGAAATTTTCTTCCTTTATCAAAATAGAAGTCACAGAGATGGGCACCTGAGTCTCTGCCAGGACACAGACTTCAGGAAAGAAGCAGTGGTTTATCACTAATTCACATGAATGAAGGCTGAATTTAAGAAAACCCCAGCCCCACCAGTCAGAAATCTGCCTGGTGTGTGGCAGCCCCTTTTATGGCCACGTGAGGGCAGTATTGAGTCACACACCGCCCCTTGAACTCCCATAGTCTTCCAGTTAGCCCTCCTGACACTGCAGGAATGAATGGCAGGAGGGACTATGGCAGTGGATGACCTGGGAACTTCGGCTCAGGTTGCAGTGTGGTCAGGGCCGTGGCTTTGTCTCCTCAGCTAGACCTCCAGGACAGGCCTTTGTGGTCCTTCTGTCTCCCTGCTGGTTCCCGCTGTGGTGGCTTCATTCCCCATCTCGGCCCGCCAGGCTCATCTTCAGGAAACTGGGCTGATTTCCACAGTGACCTATGGTCAGGTGAGTGCTTTTACCCGCTTCCTCACATCCCTTTTCCTGGAGCTTCCTGAGAAAGCTAATGTGTGTGAAAGGAGAAGGCAGGAGTGCCCTTTTTTCTCTTGGGAGCTCTGAAGTTGGCCAAAAGGAGTTGGACTGTTCCCCGGGCCAGTGTTCCATGAGGTGGAGAAGCAGTGGGCGTCGGGAGGATTTTAGACATTGAATGGGCCAGACATGGTGGCTCATGCCTTCCTGTAAGAGGATCAAGGACTGCTAAGAGTTCGAGCTCACCCTGGGTTACGTGGTGCATTCAAGGCCTGCCTGCCTGAACTACATGGCCAGACCCTGTCTCATATATAAATAAGTAAATAAACACTGAACTGGCCAGCGAGGAGCCCATGCAGGTTAGGAAAGACCACCGGCACCAGGAACTCTCAAGGCCTCCGTTCTGCCTGTAGGAGTCCTGGACTTGGTGGACAGGTCTGAAACCAGGACAGGAGGTGCAGAGTTTGGCTGTGAGACCGACTTCCCCAAAAGCATGGGTGGGAGACAACTGGAATGAGCCACCAAAAGGGACTCTCCTATGCCACTGGAATGACAAGAACCCTGGCCTTTTCAGGACCACAGCCTCCTTGTTAGGAAGGATGGATCACTGCCCTGGAGAGGGTCCTTCTGGCCAGGCCTGAGGATTTCTGAATCAGTAGGTGGCAGAGCAGAGCCACTGGACCTTGTCTGCAAAGGCAAAGGAGGGAAATGGCTGGATCAGGACTGGAGGGGGGTGGCAGCCATGGCTCTCCTGTCCCAGATGAGACCCAGGAATACTTGGACACATTAATGTGCCTGTATCCCATCCCCCGGGGTCAAATACCCAGGTTTCTCCTCAAGGTGACTTCCTGCCCTGAAACGTTCCCTGGACTTTTGAATGGGAAAGATCTGAATTCTAGGAGTAGTTCTAATGCATGTTAGCAGATGACCTGATTAAGTCATGCATCTTGCCTCTGCCTTGGTTCCTTGTGGGGAAAGGAGCACAGTCACTGTATATTGAAGGCCCTAATGATACACAGTAGGGTATCAGGGTAGATGTACCCAAAGATTGATGGGTGGCCTTGATCACAGTGATGGTTCCAAGGCCTCCCCTCCCCATTAAGATTTGTTGTCCTTGTGGTTAGGAATTGGGGACAAGGTGCTGAGGATGGAACTCAGGACCTCGCACACGTTAGGCAAATGCTCTACCCCTACATGACATTCCAGCCCTAAAGGGAAAGAGTTTAATTCTGCACAGGACACACAGCAGATTCTTGTTCGCAGGACAGAGGTGCCAAGTGTGGAAAGGCTGCCTGCAGTCCCCCCAGCCTGGCGTGGCCTGTGCAACTGCTTCCCACATCCATAGTTCGGGGCCTCAGAGAATGGGCAATTGACTTTCTTGCTAAAGAATTTCTGGATGAAGAAATGAGGGCTCATAGAGGGAAAGATACTCACCCAAGGTCACCCAACTCATTAGCCAGGATTAAAAATTAGAACTCAGTTCCCCTGATCTCCAGTTTAAGGCATCGTGCTCACTCCATTCCTTCTGAATTTTGGGGGACGGAAGATGGGCAGATGGTTCAGTGGAGGCCGGTCCTGCATCCTCCTCTCTGTCCTCTGTCAGTCCTTTCTCGAATCTAGCTCCCTGCCCTCCCCAGTACCTGACTCCAGCCCCTTGGAGCCTGGCTCCTACCCGACTCTCAATCAGCACCTGGCAATGAGGACTTTTCGGGGCTAGGTCTCCTATCCCCTCCCGACCTGAGCCCCAGGACCTGGCAAGCAGAAACAGGGTGTCCGATCCCCGGCGGGGCCCCTCGCCGGGAATGACGGGATGGGGGGGCACTGCGTACCGATCTCCCCAGATAGGCACGCGGTGCACACGTCCGCGCGGTTAAGGGGTACTAGTAGCCCCTGTTGCGTCTCCCCTTTGGGGGGTGGCTAGGAGGCAGGCTTGGGGAGGGCGGAGTTTGGGGGGCCGGGGGCGGGGCTCGGCGGCGCCGGGAGGAAGGGGGGGGCGCGCTGGCTCCAGCTCGGCTCAGACAAAAGGCGGCGGCGGGAGCGGGCGGGAGGCGGAGCGGCGCCCGGAGGGCCTCAAGGTGACACCGCCCCCGGCCCCGGCCCCCCCAGCCCGGCCCCTCCAGCCCGCCCCCCACCCCTGCCCCCGCCCCCCGCGCATTCCCCGTCCCCCCTCCCCCCGGCGGGGGGTGGGGAGCAGAGCGGGCCCCGCCCCCGCCGCCCCCTCCCCGAGCCAGCGCAGGATGCCCCCGGCGCCTGGCCGCCCCCCGGGAGGTCCTGAGCACCACGCGCCCCCTCTGCGCCATGTCCCCGCCCGGGTCCGCCGCGGGAGAGAGCGCGGGCGGCGGCGGCGGCGGCGGCGGGCCCGGGGTCCCGGAGGAGCCCCTGGCGGCGGACGAGGGCCCCGCCCGAGAGGAGGTGAGAGCGGCCGCAGCGCGCCCCGGAACCCCCATCTCGGCACTCGCGCCCGGGCCAAGCGCCGCAGCCGCAGTCTGCGCCTCCCCCACCTGCGGCCCGGCTGTCCGCGGGGCGGGGCGGGGGGCGCGGGGGCGGGGCCGGGGGGGTCCCGGGCAGGGGAGGGGCGTGGGCGGGGCCTCGCAGACCCCTAGGCTCGCGCTGGAAGGGCTCGGCTCACCTGTCCCGGCGCGAGGACGCGGGGTGGGGGGCTGCAGAGATGGGAGGGGACTTGGGAGGCGGTGGTGTCACCTGGGTTGGGGGCCTACGGGTCGGTGTGTGGAAAGGCCAGAACCCCCATCCCCGGGGTCGCTGGGAGCTTGGGAGGTGCACCCTTTCTTCCAGCACTCCCCCTAGGGGTTTTAAACCCAAGAGCCTTTAAGTGTGGGTGCTAAGCTTATTCCTATTCTGAAACTGGAGACAAAGAAAGGAGGAAAGTACCAGCAACCCCCCGACCCTGCATCCTGCACACATACATGCTGCACAGCCGGTAACCAGGGGGGCCTGCAGGCAGGGCCTCTTGGGGCCAGGGCTCCCGCAGGGCGCCTGTGTCCCCATGCCAGGTAGGCTTGAGATGCCCCTTCCAGTTCCAGCTCCCTGTGGGTGCTAAATTCAAGGCCTCTGCCTGTGTCTGTGTTTGCCTTTCCACCTTCTCCGCTCCCCTAGCTGGCCTCCTGGCCAGGCTGAGGAACTGAAGGAACAAATCGGGGTCCCAGCAGGAGGCTGTGTACATGTATTGGAGACTTAGGCTACCCTTAGAAATCAAACTCAACTCTCATTTCTCCTGGCTGCTGGGTGGCAGCACTATGTGTGGCACCACTATGAGTGGCACCCAGGATGCAGGGAGTGAGGCATGGGCCCTGCCAGACGGTAAACAACTCTAAACAACTCACCGTGCAGAGCACTTGAGGAGACAGGCCCTAGGAGAGGACCAGAGACCTTGTGACAAATGGCTGGACTTCAAATACATTCCTCCTGCTCCCTTCCCTGTCCCCATCCCCATCTTGTCCCCAGGCACATGTCTCTGCCTTTTTGGATCCTCTCTCCCCAGTTGCCTTCTGCTTGGGAACCCCAGCCCCTCCCTCCTGTTTTAGAATTTGGAAAAGGATGTTAGGGTCCAGCAAGAAGACTTGAGGGAGGACGGGGCTCTGGAATGTGTGACTGAGCTGGGGCAGGCTTCTTCCTCCTCCAGAGAAAGTATTGGGGGGCTGTGTGAGTGTTAGGGAGGTGGGTGGATCAAAGGGGGAGTGGCTCCCAGGACAGGGATTAAAAGTACCTGCCAGAAATCAGGGCCTCACCTGTTAAGGGCCAGGTGATCTCAGGGTGTCCCTCCCCTGTTTCCTTGAACACCTGGAGGGGGTCTGGGCTGGGGACCTACCTTTGCTGATGCCTGTCTGTCTGTCCTCCCTTCCCCCCCATCCACACTTTTTCCCATTTCACTGTGGTCTTTGCATCTGTCTTTGGACTATCTCTGGGTGCCATCCTGCCCCTCTGTGTCTTTGCTTCCTGGGCCTCCATCCCTGGCTCTCATTCTTCTCTGCCCCTTGGGGTGTCTCTCTCTCTCTGCGCTTTCCTGTATTGGCTTTCTGATCCCTTTTTCTGACCTCATGATGCCCTCTGGGTCACTCACTTCTGTGTTTATTTCTGGTCTCTGTCTCTCATGTTTGTCTTATGTTTTTTCCCCTATCTCTGCCTCTGTCTCTGCCTCTGCCTCTCCATCCTGCATCCATTTCTTTGTCTCACCTCCTGCTCATCCTGGCCCCTCCCTGCCCATCTGAGCAGCAGCGACCCATCCAGCCCTCTTTCACCAAGTCCCTCTGCCGTGAGTCCCACTGGAAGTGCCTCCTGCTGTCGCTGCTCATGTACGGCTGCCTGGGGGCAGTGGCCTGGTGCCACGTCACCACAGTGACCCGCCTCACCTTCAGCAGCGCCTACCAGGGCAACAGCCTCATGTACCACGACAGCCCCTGCTCCAATGGCTACGTCTACATTCCCCTGGCCTTCCTGCTCATGCTGTATGCTGTCTACCTGGTGGAGTGTTGGCACTGCCAGGCCCGCCATGAGCTGCAGCACCGCGTGGATGTGAGCAGCGTGCGGGAGCGTGTGGGCCGCATGCAGCAGGCCACGCCCTGCATCTGGTGGAAGGCCATTAGCTACCACTACGTCCGCCGCACCCGCCAGGTCACCAGGTACCGCAATGGAGATGCTTATACCACCACCCAGGTGAGCAGCCACGAAAGATGAGAAAGAACCTGGTGGGGGGTAGGAGGTCAGTGATAAGCTCACAGCAGCAGACACAGCCAGGGCCATTCTGTCAGGACTTCACATGTGTGCCGTCATTTATTTAATCCTGATAACAGCTCTATGAGATAGGCACTGTCCCCATTTTACAGATAAGAAAACTGAAGCACAGAGAGGTTAAGTACTCGCCCAAAGTCAAACTGCTAGTATGTGGAGGTGAGGGCTCCCAGTGTAGACTGTTTAGGACTGAAAGTCTGCAGATGGCTTCCCAGGTGGCTTCTCACAGCACATGCACACCTGTTGGGTGAGGCAGTGGCCATCTGGTTCCCTTTCTCTTAGTCTCAGAGACTTGCCCACAGCCTGTATTTACTGAGCAGCAGTGCTAGACTCAAACTGAGATCCTGGAACCCCATCCCAGGCTCTCTGAGTAGATGGATGTGGGGGGCCTTACAGGGAGCCCCAGAGCCATCAGCACTGCCAGGATTAGACCGTCTGGATCTTGGAGGAGGAGAGGTTGCCAGAGGTGGTAGGCATTGTCATTGACTGTGCAGGCAGCCAAGGCCTTGACAGGAGACTGGAGAGGAGGGCTCCCTTGGAGCCAGCATCCTCTTGTAAACACACAGGTCAGAGGGCAGAAGCTGGGGGGCCTGTGATGGCTGAGAAGCAGTGGGACAGCACAGGCAGATGTGGCCAAGGGTCAGGCCAGCCAGAGTGCGGGTTTGTGGCCAAGATTCGGCCCCAGGGGGCACAGGGAGGACTGGGTTCCCGTCCCATCTCGTTTTTAACGCACTGGTTAAGCCTCGGGTCCCAGTTGTAAAGCACATGGTGATGTCTTGTGGGGCTCCAGCAGGTACCCAGAGTGGGACAGGCGCAGGGGCATATGATTAGGAAACGCAGCATGAGGGGGTTGGTGGGGGGGTGGTCCGAGACTGCAGCTTCCTCACCTGCAGGTCTACCACGAGCGCGTCAACACGCACGTGGCCGAGGCCGAGTTTGACTATGCCCGTTGCGGCGTCCGGGACGTGTCCAAGGCGCTGGTGGGGCTGGAGGGTGCGCCCGCCACGCGGCTGCGATTTACCAAGTGCTTCAGCTTCGCCAGCGTGGAGGCGGAGAACGCGTACCTGTGCCAGCGCGCACGCTTCTTCGCGGAGAATGAGGGCCTGGACGACTACATGGAGGCGCGTGAGGGTATGCACCTGAAGAACGTGGACTTCCGGGAGTTCATGGTGGCCTTTCCGGACCCGGCACGGCCGCCCTGGTATGCGTGCTCGTCGGCCTTCTGGGCCGCAGCGCTGCTCACACTGTCGTGGCCACTGCGCGTGCTGTCCGAGTACCGCACGGCCTACGCGCACTACCACGTGGAGAAGCTCTTTGGCCTCGAGGGCCCGGGCTCTGCTGGGGGCCTGAGCCCCGGCGACGAGCTGCTGCCCCCACTGGCGCACCGTCTGCCGCGCGTGGACACGGTGGACAGCACGGAGCTCGAGTGGCACATACGCTCCAACCAGCAGCTGGTGCCCAGCTACTCCGAGGCGGTGCTCATGGACCTGGCGGGCCGCAGTGCGCATGCCCGGGGCTTCGCACCCTCCTGTCGCTATGGTGGCGTGGGTGGCCCTGGCGCGGCCCCGCTGCGTCGCAGCTGCGAGCAGTGCCAGCGCGCCGCCAGCAGCTCCTCCATTTTCTCGCGCAGCGCGCTCAGCATCTGTGCCAGCCCGCGCGCAGCACCGGGGCCCGGCGGGGGTGTGGGGGGCGCGGGCAGCCGCTTTTCCCTCGGCCGCCTCTATGGCTCACGGCGCAGCTGCCTGTGGCGCAGTCGGAGTGGCAGCGTCAATGAGGCCAGCTGCCCCACAGAGCAGACCCGTCTGTCCAGCCAGGCCAGCATGGGGGACGATGAGGACGACGATGAGGAGGAGGCTGGGCCGCCGCCGCCCTACCATGATGCGCTCTACTTCCCGGTCCTCATTGTGCACCGGCAGGAGGGGTGCCTGGGCCACAGCCACCGGCCACTGCATCGCCACGGCTCCTGCGTGGAGACCTCACTGTGAGGGGCCCCTGGATGGGTCCACGCGCCCCTTGCCGAACTGTGTGTCCCGCGTGGAGCAGGGGAGTGTGGGGGTCACCCAGGCCAGGTGTGGAAGGAATAGAACAGAAGGGTTCTGGAGAGACCCCCATGGGGCCAAGAGCGACCTAGCCTGGACACAGGGACAGAGCATGAGAAGGCGTGGCTCCCCAGAACCCCAACTGCAGGCAGAATGACTCCTCCACCACTCCCACAGTTCATGAAGGCTCACCCCCCTCTCCGCACACACCAGAGATTTCCCGTGCAGCCTCCCACCGGCCTGACTGTTAGTGGCAACTATGCGGGGAGTGGGGGACCTGGGCTGAGCCGCCTCGGGAGGGTGTGTCTCCCTGGGCAGCAGGGTGGTGTGCAGATACAGGAGGGGCACCTGGGACTTTACTGACCCTTGGGACCTTTGCTGGGAACAGCAGGGGTAGCTGCTATCCAGCTGACGCGTTCAGAGCCAGGTGGCAGCCCCAGCACAGTCCCCACACCGTGGCAATGTGGCCGTTCTCTTCTTGGCGTTGGCCCCAGAGCTCGGGGCTTCCTCTCACCCTCTTCCTGCACTGTTGTTTGTCACTGGGCCCCAGGAGCAGGTCCTGAGGGATTGTGCTCATGGCACCACGTCACTCTCTTCTATCCTCCTGGGACAGGGCCCTTCAGCCCTTTCTGGAAACTCTGTAGCCTCCTCCCTGAGTTCGGGTGGGTTCTGATGCCACCTCGGCGGCTGGTGTGAAAGCCGGCCAGGGTGAGTGACACAAGAGATGCACCTGATGACAGGTGGGCCCTGGGGCACAGAGGGCAGTGGAGGGTGGAGGGGCAGGATCTCTGAAGGGGAGCCCTTACCTCCCCAGACCTCTGGGGAGGAGTAGCGCAGTCTCGCCCCTCACCCTTGCCTCTGTGGGCTGAGGAACTGGTCACTGGCCCAAACTGGAGGGACACTTGATTCCAGTGGCAGGAATTATCCAACTCTGCCAAACTTCATCTCCATTTATGCCCTGAGCAGAAGCCCTGTCGTGTGTCCCAGGGTCTTCAGAGGGGCACCCTGCCACTGCCTGGGGGCGTTGGCCCTGTTCCCCAGAGCTCCATTCTGACGTTTCTCCCCCGTGCTTCCCGCCACCTGCCCCGGTGTGCTTGGTGTGCATGTCTTTGTACAGCCCTTCGCCTTCCCAGCTGCCCGGCTCCTTTCCCAGCACACTTAGGGCCTGGGAACCAGGTTCACATCTCGGGCACCCAGGCATTGTGCCCCAGATGCTTCTTGCTTCTCTGCTGCCATCAGAGCTCTGCTGTTGGCCTCTCCTGGCCACTTTCCTGCCCGTCCTCCCCCTTTCTGGCTAGACCCACACCTGCACGGAGGTGTGGCCTCCAGCTATGCAATATCGCCTCTATCTCCTGCTCTCCTCAGGGGAACGAGGATGGGGGCAGACTGTGGGGGGCACTCTGGCCCATGGATCATCAAGGTGCACAGAGATGGGTGAGGGAGGAGAGGCCAGAGAGGGAGTAGTTGGGGCAGAAAGGCACAGCTGCCCACCTGCCTGCCAGCTCACAAACCCATCGGGACCCTGAGTCTGTGCTCCTCGGGGCCTGGCAGTGGGAACACCCCTCTCAGGAGGTGCAGCGGGTCCCCGTTATTATTTCACGTGTATCAATCATTTCTGCTAGGTGTGCTCACCCAGTCAGCCTCGCCTCGCACATACGCACAGACTTAGAGAGAAACTGATTCTTTGGTCTATTTTCTTGGTAGCTTTTATTGATTGCCAGGGAAAATGAAAACCAGAAAATTAATTAATCTCTAAAATTAAACTTTACACTGAATGTTCTTGTTTCTCTAATTAGAACCTCTGCTAGCAGCGGTGGCCACACACACACACCCTCCCACCTACACGTTTGCACTCTGAAACCGTTTGAGGGTGTCAGGCATGAAGGATTCAAGGCCACCCAGACAGGCACATGTGCGTTACCCCGCTCAAGCCCCTGTGGTGCTCTGCTCAGCGGCTGCTTGTTGGAAGGGGTCCCTGGAGAGTGGGTGCCGCTGGGATATGGTTGAAATTCATGACCCAGCCCTTGGGGACCTAGGCCTGAGCATCAGCCCCTTGGGCATCCTGGCTGATGTGATTCCTGTAGTTGTGGCCAAGCTGAGCAGCTGCAGAGTGACAGGGACTCATGCAGGGCACCTGGAAGGCTCCCCATGTCTGGGGACAAGGGCTGTCAGGCGGGCTGGGCCTGGCCGGGAGGAGCAATTGGGTGCATCACACTGTGGCCTTTCTGTCCTGGATTTCCAAGTGCAAAGATTGTACAAATCTAACTGGTGGATAATAAAGTTGCGATGACTCACCGACCTCCCCTCTGGTGTGGCATTTCTTACCCCTCCAGCAAGAGTGTCACCAGGTTCTCCCAGCAGCCACCACTGACAGCTGCCTTCCTGTATCCCAGGGTCCCCTTCCCAGGTGAAAAGTGGGGATTGATGGTGTGGCCTGTAAAACTGGGTCACATAAAGCAGAGTCGAGCAGTGGGGAGGTGACATCTTCAGGAGTAAGTGTAACAGGAAGATTCCGGCATCATTGTACTGTAGCTACAGTGTGTGTGTGTGTGTGTGTGTGTGTGTGTATGTGCTTGTGTATGCATGCGTGTGTGCACATGCGTGAAGGTCAAGGATCCCATCAGTAGCCGGGGGTGGGGAGATGGAGGAGAGTCATCTACATGGGCAGCACGCATGGGAGTCCATCTGCCTAATTCCTGGAAGAAGTCATCTTTTTCAGGGATCTAATGACACCACTTTGTGGGCCCCACAGCAGGGTCTCCACTTAATACCTTTTCTCCCTTACCGGGAACCTCCTTGCCTTGTGTCTTTATGCCTTCAATCCTCAGTTGCTCCTTCGGAGGATGTTCGAGTCCCTCTTTCCCTCCCTCTGGACTGGAGTGACCTTTAGCAGCAGGGTGTGTGGGAAGGGCAGGGAATGAGGGACAGGGCTGGAGTGGTGACCCCTGGTCTCTGGTCACTGCCTGGCCCCAGTTGCACCTTATGCCACAGATTTCCCAGGGCCACTGGCAGTGACAGGTAACACGAAGTGGCCAGGGTTCAAGGCCTGCTGGCGGGCAGCTTCCCTGTTGGTGTGGAGGGCCTGGCCGATGAGGTACTCGCACTCCTGGGTGATATCTGACAAGCGCAAGTCAAACTCCAAGAGGGTCTTGTTGTCCGACACGCCCTCCAGGAGCTGCTTCCCGCCATCCTGGGAGGACAGAAGGGAAAGAGTCATGGCACATCAAGGTCGGGTGACAGCCACACACACAACTGATAAGAGATGAGGTTGCCATTAACTCTGCTGCACGCTGATCTACTCCTGCTTATTCAGACAGCGTGGTCAAGACCCACTAACGTGGCTGTCCACCCCAGTGACCATGACCTTGCTTTTCTACCCCCACGCAGGGCCTGGGGGCAAACCTGTCTAAGATCAGAGGAGGAGAAGCTCAGAGGAGCCAGCTCTGGGCAGCTTCTCCTCACCCTGACCAGAGAATGAGGAGGAGCAGTGCTGTCCCTCTACCTCTGCCTGCTGCCAGGCAGGATGCCAAACTGCAGTATCTCTCGGGAGAGGAGAGGAGGCCCAGAGAGGCCAAAGCCATGGGCAGATGGCGGAGCTCAGCATGGCCCTGAATCCAGGGGTCTGGCTGGTGCAGGACCCTAGCCCAGGGCTTCTGGTCATGTGAGGACTGAGTGTCCCCCTGCGTCCTGGCCAAGCTGTCTATGACTTGTAGTAGGAGCACCCCTGTGGGGACAGCAGAGGGAGGCTGAAGGGCAGCCAGTTGGGAGTCTAACCGGAGCACACAGGGCCCCCCTGCAGTCCTTCACCCATGCTCTTTTGTGTGGGGTGGGCCAGGTCAGGGTGAAGATTAGAACACTGCTGTCCTATGGAAGAATCCCACTTGTGGTTTGGGAAGGAAATGTAATGGGTTACAAAAACACTGAAAAAAAAAATGAATACAGTAGAACCTAAAGGAAAACATCAGGCCGGGCATGGTGGCACACACATGTAATCCCAGCACTTTGGGAGGCTGAGGCAGGAGAGTCACTGTGAGTTTGAGGCCAGCCTGGGCTACATAATAAGTTCAAGGCCAACCTGGACTACAAAGTGAGACCTTGACTTGAAAAAAAAAAGTGTACATTAGCATAAATCACAAGCAGAAAAAGTAGATTTCAATGACATCTATCTACCTTTCTACAGGTGTTCATGTAATTTGTTCCCTCCCAACAGAGGTGGGAATTAAGACACACACACCTTTTTTTTGCTTTTTTGAGACAGGGTCTCGCTATGTAGTTCAGACTGGCCTTGGGCTCACTTTGTAACCAAGGCTGGTCTCAGACTTGCAACCATCCTCCTGCCTCAGCCTCCCGAGTGCTGGGATTATAGGAGTGCACCACCATGGGCTCACCCTGAGCCCCTTTAAGAATATCTTTAAAAGGTTTGTGACAGAGTCTCTCTAAGTCACTAGATTGTCCAGGCTGGAACTTGTGATTTCCCTGCTTTATCCCCCCAGAGTGCTGGGTGACAAGCACCACCAGCCTGGTGTACTTTACATTTCTTCTTCCATGATTTGGTCAAGAAAATTTGAGAAACATGTTTTTGTTTTTGTATTTTGAAATACTGTTTGTTACAGAAGACTCAGGCTAGGCTTCAGCATGACTTGGTAATGCAGTGCTTGCCTAGAAAAGACAGGCTGGGCTGGAGGGCAGTGGTAAACCACATGCCTGCCATGCACGAGGCCCTGGGATTGATCCCCAGCACTACACACACCAAAAAGAAAGTCTCATTTTCATAGGTAACTGTGAAGACAAAAGGGAAAGGAGCAGATGTTGGGGACACCCCTCGACTCTGCATGTATGCATGAGTGACATTGCATGTAGCACCAGAAGCCCAAGGTCCCAGTGTTCCTCCTGCAGGCAGCCCGCCCCGCTCCCAGAGGCCTGGCTCACCGGCCCGATGTGGTTGCAGGACAGGTTGATGCTGGTGAGCGTGGTGTTGACCGAAAGGACCTGAGACAGGAGTGTGGCCGTGGGCTCAGACAGCTCATTGCCGCCCAGGTGCAGGGTGGTGAGGCACGTGTTAAACAGCAGGGCGTGTGCTAGGGCCTGGCCGCCCTCGTCCTCGATGCAGTTGAGGCGCAGGTTGAGGGACAGAAGGTTGGTGTTGTGTGTCAGGGCGTGAGCCAGAGCCTGGGCCCCAGGCGCACGCACGCGGTTGTTGGCCAGGTTGAGCACACGCAGGTGGCTGTGGCTGAGCAGCTTGGCAGCGCCACGTGCCCCGCGGTCCCCGATGAGGTTGTGTGACAGGTCCAGCTCCTCAAGGGCCGGGTGGTCAAGCAAACTGCGGATCAGAATGCGGGCCTTCTCGTCATCCACGCGGCTGCGGGTCAGCCTGAAAATCTGCGGGTGGGCAGAAGGTGACCGGCCTGCTGCCTGCGCACCTTCTGTAGGTGGCCAGCTGGGTGGGGCAGCCCATCCTGTGACACAGAATTGGTGGCAGGAGGAAGAGGCTACTATTGGTCAAGTGATTACTACGGACGGGCACACTGCCAGCATGGTTGATAACCATTTCCCTGGCCACCAGCCCCCTGTGGAGTCGGGCCTGTTCTCTCCACTCTGGGCAGAGAAAGGCTCAGGAAAGTTCCATTACTCAACCAGAGGTGCAGATTTGGAATTCAGGTCTGTCTGATGCCCCAGCCTCCCACTGTTTGCTCCCACTCTGCTGGCTGATGAAATCTCTTTATCTCTCTCTGTCTCTGTCTTGTGGTACCAAGGATTGAACCCAGCATCTTTGCACTGAATTACATCCCCAGACACCCTCACTTTTTCCCCCCAGCCCTTATAAATAAAAAAAATTTTAAAGCCAAAGTTGCTACACTACCTAGGCTAGGCTAGAACTTTGGATCCTCCTGCCTCAGCTTCCCAAGTGCTGGCATCAGACACATGTACCATCATGCCTGACTTTCGAGTTTCTTCTTAGGCAAATCTAAAGCCTTTACCTATTTCTGCTTTTCTCTCTACCTTCCCAGTCAAGATCTTGGCAAAGCTGATCATAGCACCCCCTCCTCTCCTCTTGGGCTCCTGCCCCGGCCCTGGCACCCCACTGCAGTTTCCCCAGGAACTCCCAGGCTTTCTAAGTCAGCCCCCAGTGCCAAGAACGCCGCACCTCACTCCTCCTCCTGGAACGCACCCTTCACGGCTCAGGCACACAATGCCAGGTCCCTTCGCTCCTGCCTCACGTTTCTGGCAGGCTCTGCTCCCATTGTCACCTGCCAGTGTCTCCGGGCCCTCTTCTGGCTCCCTTAGGTGTGCCACGCTGAGCCCACACTTGTGAAGCTGGCACCCATTTCCAGGCTTTGTTCAGATCTCTCCCAAGAGCTGCTCTGCCGGAGGATGCCGTGCCAGGCCACCTCACAGTAAAACCCAGCCCTCCTCCTGCCATCGCCATCCTGCCAGTGGCCTCTCCAACCATCTGGTCTCCCAGGCAGGAAGGCCTGATGCCTCCAGCGCCTTCCTCCTCTTCACCTCCTTATGCCAGTGAGGCTGCTGATGCAATTGCTCAAGCTCCTTTCCTCTACTCTCTCTCTCCTCCCCTCTCTGCAGGCCAAGTCAAGGTTCCAGCAACCCTTGTCTTTGTCTCCACGTGGCAGGGAACTCCCAGGTGACTGCCATGTCCTCAACCCAACAACATGAAGTTCCCCTGCTAAAACCTCCACAGTGCTATGACTTGGAAGCAGTGGTATCCCTGCAGGCCCGAAGCTACACACAGCACCAGCCCCCAGCGTCTTGAGCTAAAGACTCCCCTTTTTCTTTTCTTTGTTTCTTTCTTTCTCTCTCTGTTTTTTTTTTTTTTTTTTGTACTGGGGATTGAACTCACAACCTCACACTTGCCAGGCAGGCTAAATTCCTGGCCCATCTTTTTTTTTGTCTTTTTGAGACAGGGTCTCACTATGCAGTTCAGGCTAAACTTCAGCTCACTTTATAGCCCACGATGGTCTCAAACTTACAACGTTCCTCCTGCCTCAGCGTCCTGAGTGCTGGGATTACAAATCTGTGCCACCATGCCTGGCTACTCCTCTTTTCTTTACAAAGTGCCCAGCTTTGGTTACTTTGTGACAGCAACAGAAAATAAAAAAATTCAGATGGTGCCTGGAGCTCCTCAAGAAAGCCAGATCCCTGACAAGGCCTGCTTTCTCCAGGAGCATGGAGCCTTCCGCCCTGCTCCCCCACGCTGGCTCCACCAACACAGCCCGCTCTGCCAGGCCCTGGATTGGCCCTGCTGTCCCGTCAGGGGCCTACATGTGCTGCTTCCCACTGGAACAGCTCCCCTCTTTCCCTTGTCTACAGCCCCCCGCCCCATCTCTGCATAGTGACACTGCTCCAGGAAGCCTTCTCTGGCGAGGAGAAATGCACCTTTATAATCACACATAAGAATGTCTCTTTTGCAGGGGATTCAGCTCAGTGCCATAATGCCTGCTGTCAAGCACAAGGTCCTGAGTTCGATTGCTGGTACAAAAAAAAAAAAAAAAAAAAAAAAGGAAAGAAAGAAAAAGAAAAGCCTACAAAAAAAGAATGTTTCTTGGGGCTGGGGATTTAGCTCAGCGGAATAAGCACCTGCCTTGCAAGCAGGCAGTTGTGAGTTCAATCCCTGGTACTGATTAAAAAAAAAAAGAAAGAAAGAAAGAAATAGGAAGAACGTTTCTTTTTACAGGTGCACACCTGTAATCCCTGGGGGAGGCCAAGGCGAGGAGGATCACAAGTTCGAGCCCAGCTTAGTGATTGGCAGCACAGTAGCTCTGACACACACACACATGCACACACACATGCACACATGTATACATGCGCATGCACGCGCACGCACACACACACACGTCTTTTCTTTATAGCACTTATCCTAATTAGGGGTGCAAGAAACAATACAGGATGCCCAGGCTGGGGGTATGGCTCAATGATGGGAAACAAACACAACCCTAAACCAAGGGGTCCTGCTTAAATTAAAATTTCAGACAGACAAATGTGTCCCATGTGATGTTTGGGACATACTTCTACAAAATCATTTGCTATTTGTCTGAAATGCAGTCAACTGGGTGCCCTGTGTTTCAGCTGCAGTCTGCAAACTCCACCCCCACCCCCCAGCTTGAAGCAATTAGTGCTTTTTATCGCGGCCTCAGCTGCAGAGGCCACCCGGGGTGACTGTCAACGCAGGGCCACCTCTTCAGCACCCAGGACAGGGCCTGGAGTAAAGATGTTTGTTGATGACTAAGCAAGCCCAGAGTTCAGTTTGCAGCAACAAAAGCAGCTCTGTCCATGAATGGAAAGGAGACAGGAGGAAGGCGATGGCAGGAAAGGAAATCGAGGAGGGCACAGAGAGCCCGGGGCGGGGCGCTGAGAAGATACCTTGAGTGTGTGGCAGGCCTTGATGGTAGCCGCCAAGGAGTGGCAGTCCTGGTAGGTGAAGAGGAAGAGCTTCCACTCGAAATTCATGCCACAGTCTTTGACACCATACACCAGGTCCAGCTCCTCCAGCTGGCTCAGGCCGGCCACCAGCGGGCCCAGCGTGTAGTGATCGGCGCTGATTTCCTCGGGTTCCCCTTCGCTGGCTGAATCTGACTGGTCTCCCGCCACACGGGGTGGGGCCGGCAGGTACACAGGCGGGAGGAGCTGGTCAACACGGAGGCTGCGAATGAAGTCCTTGCAAAGGGGCAGCAGGTCGAGGATGGTGCCAGGGTCCGTGGTGCCAGGGATGAAGTGGCACAGCAGACCCTCCATGTGTCGCTCGAAAAACAGGCGCTTCCAGCTGCCACCGTGCCGGGCCACGTGGCACACAGGCCAGCGGTGCATGCAGCAGCGGCGCCAGTAGCCCTCGTCGTCGATGAGATTGGCAGTCACGGCCAGGGGCAGGTCAGGTGGCAGTTGGCTCAGGACCTTCTGCTGGTATTCTGGAGGCAGCTGCTTCAGGATTGGGTTTTCTTTGGGAGCAGAGGAGAAAAAACAGGGGTGGGGGGGTCATAGCTCTGGGGGCAACATAGCGCCCTGTTTTGGTGATGTTTCTGCAGCTGGACAGGCAGTGTCCAGTCTTGGGTAGGATCAGTCTGTGGAGGCACACGGGTTGTCACCTAGTCCAATGGAGGAGATAGTCCCTGATCCAGAGCCTGCTTGTCTGATGTGATTCATTCATTTCAAACAAATGCATCTGGAGCCAGGCATAGAGGTGCATGCTGGTAAACTCTGTGCTCAGGAGGCTGAGGCAGAAGGGTTGCCATCAGTTTGAGGCCAGCCTGAGCTACATCATGAGACCCTGTCTCTAAAGTAAAACAAACAGCAACAGCAACAAAACAAGTGTATCTGTCTGACATGTGCTGTGTGCAGGACAATGCCAGCAGGGCTGAGCCCCAAGGGTGGGGGGCAGGTTGCCCTGACCTCCGGAATCTCACATTCCAGCCAGCGAAGACAGAGAGGGAAAAGATGAAAAAAGCACATATAGGTCAGGTGGCCATCATTTTTGGAGACAGAAGGATGGCCCTGTCTTCAGAGACCTGCAGTCAGGGCACAGAGGCCACTCTCCCCTCACCCATGTTCTTTGGACTGAGTATGGTCCCAGAGCAAGCCAGGAAGCCACATGTGCTGGGGCTCAGAGTTCTGGGTGAAGGGTATGGGCCAAGGGGGGCCTCTGGCTAGGGCAGTGAAGGGCAGGAATGGCAGAGTCTGCTGGGAGCCTAGAAGTGGGGTCTGCAGGGCGTGGGGGCCCTCCTCCCTCCTACAGACTCACTCTGGAAGTTTCTGATGATGTTCTGGATGCAGAGCTCCGTGAGGAGGGGCACAATGGCCAGTGACCACTCAGTGTCCTCAGCAATGAGCCTGCGCATGCGGCGGAAATTCGGAACAGTGCGTTTGGCAGGCTGCTGGCCCGTGGCTGGATTGTGGGCTGCAACAGAGGGGGACCTCGGGACCAAGGGGGACCAGCTGAGTTTGGGCGATGTGGGTGGGGGCCGGGAGTCCTGCATGCTGAGTGCTGGTAACAAGGGGGCAGGAGGCCCCTAGTTGACCTGGACACAAGACGCTGCTTAAGTCCTTGATACTGGTGGGGACCTGGAACGAGAGGAAGTGAGAGAGGTGAGGATTTGGAGGCATTTAGAGTGCAGAGCTAGCATAGATGCTGGTGCAAATCTCAGCCACCAGCTGTGTGGCCTTGGGCAGGTAACTGAACCTCTCTGAGTTTCCTGCTGCCTCTGTGAAATGAGAGGATTATTAGGGGGAGGGAGTGAAATCCTGACTGAAGGAAGCAGAGTAAACTGTCTGGCACATGAAACTGTAGCAAGCAGCTGAGGAGACTCACTCTTTAGCACCCGCATGCACTGCACACTCCTTTATGTGTATTAACACATTTACCCTCACAAAAACTTTTAGAGATAGGCACTCACATTTCCCCCTGCTTTCTGATGGGAAATGGAAGCACAGAGAGGTTAACTGACTTGTCCAATGTTGCACAGCTTATAAAGAACAAGGATGGATTTCATCTGGTCTGTGGTCATCTGGTGTTGAGGGCATTTTGGGCTGGGAGAGAAAGGACAGGGAACCAGGCATGGTCTGCCCACGGTGCTGGTCCCTACGCCTCTGCTCCTCGGGGTCTCCAGCCCTGAGCCCTCCTGTGATCTCCCCATCAGGACCACTCCCGGTTCTCCTGGCCCCACACCCCAGGCAGCTTGGAACACAGAAGTATAGGGAAAAAGGCAGCTCAGTCTGGTGCTGAGGACAGGGGATGCAGTGCGGCGGGGTCTGGGGCCACCCTGCCCTGTGCTCGGAGACCTGGGGGCGGGCAGGGCTGACTGCCCAGTACTCAGCACCCTCAGATGGCACCTGCCTCAAGGCCTTGTGGCACGGCCTATGGGGAGGGACTCGGTAATCCGGGAAAGGCATCCTTGGCAGAGGGAGGGACCAGATGGTGCTTGCTGGTGCCAGGCAGCTCCAGGAGGAAGAGCCTGGCTGAGGAGGTTGGTGGCTGGGCAGTGTGGGGACGTTGTTCCTGCGTGATGACACCCCTTGTGGAAACCAAATGGGAATTCAGCGAAGGCCCACTTTGGACTCAGGACCCTGCGAGGGGGCGGCTGGAATGAACACTGTTTTAGTCCTCACTGTGAATTTCCTGCTTTGCCAGTTACCTGCTGTGTGACCTTGGCCCAATTACTCAACCTATCTGAACTTCAGGGTTCATGTCTCTAAGTGGATGATGCTTCTTTCCCCATGCTGGAATTCCTCTGAGATGCTACCTGGTGACTACTGGTGATATCTGGAAAGGTTGCTGGGGGTGGGTGCAGGTGACAGCACAGGGTGGGCCTGGACTTGACCCAGGGACCTTTCTCTGGGTTGAAGTAGCGGTGGTGTTGGAGGCTGGCTACACGGCAGCATGGAGGCAGGGAGAAGGGTCAGGCAACGGGCTGGCCTTGCTCCTTGACTCCGGGCCCCTTCCTGGCTGTTCTGTTAGTCCCTGTGGACACTGTGGGTCACACCGCAGGCAGCAGCCCGGGCTTGGCAGGGACATGCAGATTCCTAGTGGACATTGCTACATCTATACCCAACCTCACTATTCTGGTCCCTGCTCCTCTTCGTTGGAGACCCCTCCTGGGGCAGGGAGACCTTTCCCAGGGCCTCAACAGCTGCCAAAGGGAGGGACAGGGCCACTCTGCTCCAGCTGTTACCATAAGAGCCCACCCAGGAGCCTGGGACTATGGGGCCTGGCATCATTTCTAAGGCAAACACTAGGATCGTTAACTGTATAATACGCTCACTGTGATCATTTTCCTTTAATCACTTGCTGTTTTAAAAATATGAATCACAAAAATAGTTTTGGTGAGGTGTAGCAGGGCACATCTGTAATCCCAGCCTTCTTCGAGCCTGAGACAGGGGGATTTTTAATTAGAGCCCAGCCTGAAAAACTTAGTAAGACCTTGTCTCAGAATAAAAGAGGCTGGGGATGTAGGTTAGTACAAAAGCCCTGGCTTCAATACCCAGTACTGGAAAACAAACAAACAAACATGTTTTTGATAGGCAACTTTTTACCAGATGCAGGTTTTTGTTTTGTTTTGATACCAGGGATCAAACTCATAATCTTTCGTTCTCCATGAAGGCACTTATACCAATGAGTTAAATCCCTGGCCCAAAATGCAGGATTTTGACCCTGAATGTTTTTTTTTTTTTTTTTTCTCTCTGTTTTCTTTTTTTTTGTTTTGTTTTGTTTTGTTTATCGGTACTGGGGCTCAAACTCATGACCGCCTGCTTGCAAGGCAGGTGCTTATGCCGCTGAGCTAAATCCCCAGCCCCTGACCCTGAATGTTTTAAAAAACTTACTTTAAAAACCTAATGATAGCTGAGCATTGTGATGCATGCCTGTAATCCCAGCACTCGGGAGGCTGAGGCAGGAGGATCTTTGTGAGTTTGAGACCAGCCTGGGCTACAAAGTGAGCTCAACACCAGCCTGAACTGCACAATGAGACCCTGTCTCAAAAAGCCAAAAAAAAAAAAAAAAAAAAAAAGTGTATATTTAAAAGGATAATGAGCAAAATGAACTTCTATCTTCCTGTTATTTATGTTGTGAAGATACTGACACGTGGCCCCTCTCTAGGTGGATGTCACCCTCTGCCACTCTTTCTCCCGCAGGTTTCACACTGTGCCCACGACGCACGTGTTGAGCCCCCCCATGTCCTGCTGTCCTCTCTCAGGGCCTATCTCCTTTCTCCCCTGAGCTCAGTGGTCCGGGCCATCCTGCCCACGCCCCATATCTGGGTGTTGCTTCCACTTGCCTGCTCCCCAGGCCCCTCTGGCCTTTCCTGTTGCCATCACCATAGTCCAGCTGTTGGGCCAGGGGCTCCTGGCATGAGCTGGTCCTCCCATGTCTGGACCTTGGGAAGCCTTTTCGTCCCACTGGGCACAGACAGCTTCCGGGTTCCTGTGTCCAAGGCCTCCCAGCTCTTGCACTCAGGACACTGCGGGCCTCTGCCACTGTGCCTGGGAAAGGGAAGCTGGTGCGCTGGGTCTGAGCGTAGTAGCACCACTCTATGGGCTTTCCTGTCCCCTGCACTGCGAACACGGCCTCCAATCCCTGTCATTACTGAGTGGGGCTCTAGGGTGGGGGCTGCTCCCCACTCTTGCCCGCTTGTATCTCAGGCCTGCTCTGGTAGGTGCTGGTGTTTGGGGCTGCCCCACACTTCTAAGAATAGCTGCTGGTGAGGAGCATCCTATTGGCCCAAGCCATTGGTCCGGGGGTGGCTACAGTGCCAGCCAATCAGAGCCCTCCTCAGGTTTGTCCAAGTGCAGGCAACAGAAGGACAGATGTCCTTGAAGGTTCTGCAGCCCCCATTGCTGGGAACCTCTCCCTCACACACAGGGCTGCCTGCAGCAGGAGGCACAGAGTCCAGAGGGAATGGATGGCAGACCTGGAGCACCCCGGCACCTTCCTCCCTATCCCTGAGACCCCAGACGGCCCGGTGCCTCCATAATCCTGAGACCTAATATGACTGCTGTTTCCAAGTCCCTTTTGCTGAAGCTGAATGTTGCTAGGTCACAGTTTGGTGAGAGGAATTATGGGAAAATCTTGCCAGGTACTGAAATAGTTCATTGAGCCAGCTGAGAAGGGCCAAGGCCCCCAGTCGTCACTTTCAGAGCTGGGACTGTAATGTGGTAGCCTTATCCTCTGCAGCTACGCTGCACATCCAGCCTCACAGCCCTGCTTTCCTGGCACTGGACAGCATCAGCTCAGGCGTGACGGTAACAGGTCCCTTCAGAATTATTCTCATCTGTGTCTTCACCCACCCTATAATGGAGGCAGGGCAGGCTTCCTCAGCCCATTTGATGGATGAAGAAGCTAGTGACTGGGACAGGGACTGGCTGGCTCCTGGACACCTAAGAGGGCTGCATACTTTGAATGTCAAGCATAGGATACATAACAAGAGAAGATACACAGATGTATGTATGTGTAAAATCCACATCCCAGTGAGAATAAGTTTCAGATTCTCCCATTTAATCTAGGCACTGACTTGGAGGCAGGGATCCCCCACCCACCACCCATAGATGACATTACAGGGGCCATCTCACCCTGCTGTCACAACCCCCGCCCTCAGCAATCCTCCCTCCCTATGTTGAGAACCCGTAGTCCCCACTCTCCCAGGCTCCCTCTCTCATCGCCTCTCTGATCTCCCGCACTCTACCGGCTCCGCCCCGCGCACTGGCTCCGCCCCACTCACCTGTACCCAGGGTCCCTAGGACAGCCCTCCTGGGGCGGCTGTCCTAAGACCTTGGTTTTGTGTCTATCTCTGCTTTGATCTCTTTCATGCCCACAGTGACTTAGCTTAGGACAAGCCACACCTACATTCCCAGCTGAGGAGTCCCCGTTTGCAGCTCAGAGAACAGAGGTAAGAAAGTTTTCCTAACAGCCAGGCAGGTTGCTCTTCTGCCCCTTGAGAATCATGGTCCCCCGATCCCCCGAGCCTGCTCCCGCTAACTCCTGCCTGCTTAAGTCTGCTGCCTCAAGAGGAGCTCCAGGGGCCTGGCTCCCAGCTCCCTCAGACAACCCAGCAGTCCCTCCCCATCCTACCTGGGGTGAGGACTCTGGCTTCTCAGTAACTGAGGGAACCACAGCCTGGTGTGTGGGAGGGGAAGAGAGGAGAAATTTCTGGGCCTGCAGGGGGAGAGGTTACTTTTCGGAGGGTCCCAGGGCCTCCAACACTGATATACTGGGGTCATGCAATGGCCCCAGTGGGCCAAGGGCGCTGGCCACGCTCCCTACAGTAGCCAGGTAGGAGATCACTAGAGACGCTGATGTTGCCAGGGAGTTGCTAGGGACGCCCCGCGTTGCCAGGGGCGGGGCCAGCGCTGCGTTGCGTCAGTCCGTGATTCCCACAGATCCACCGAATGCAGGGGCAGGCGGTTTGCGGTGCGGGCTGTGCGATATGTGGGAATGTGCACTTTGAGGGGCGAGTTCATATTGGTTGTGCTCCTCTCTGGGAGAGGACCTGGAAAAGCTGGTGGGGAGCAGAGTAGGGAAGGGCTAACCCCACCTCTCCAGGATCTCTCATGGCAGGCCCAGGCAAGGAGCCTGTGATGCTCCCACAGCTCTAGGCGGGCACCAGCACCTTCCAGCCCCAGTACAGGGCGGAAGGACAGGCGGAAGGAGCAGCTATGAAAAGGAACTGTGCTCCTGGTGGAGAGAGGGTTCCCGGAATGCTGAGCTTCCTTAAATGTCAGCTCGAGGGGATCCATTACTGGTACCACAGACCCTATGGTGACTCACCAGTAACACTGGGCACCACACCTAACTTGGTGGCCACCCTGAGGGCCAGTGAGACCTGCTGCTGCCAGTCCCACACATCATCTCAGGAAGACGCTGCAAGGAGACAGCTGGTACCTAGGGACCAGGGCCTCCTGACCTTGAAGACACCCTTGGGCCTCTCCTATTCCCAGCATTGGTGCTGCAAGCTGGTGACCCATCCTGATGAGTGGAGGCTGACCGTTACCTCAGCTTCCTCCCTCAGGCTGGGCATGTGCTGGGCAGCTAGTTTCAAAAGTGTGTAGTTGCCCTGGCTGTGTCATCACTAGGGGCCAACTCCCTGCTGTCCTCCAGCCTGCAATGCTCTTGGCTGACTGTCCAGCTCAGCTGCCCCCTGATCCCTGGTGTCACTGGAATGTCATCTACTGACACCACCTCTTCACTGCTCCCTCTCCACCCCTCACCCCAGGGGGCACCACTGGACTCAGCAGTTGACCAGCTCTCACTGCTCAGCGGACTGACCAGGCAGCGGAGCTGAAAGAAAACTCTGGACTTCTGAGTCTGACCTAGGAGGGTCTGGCTAGCTGCCATGATCTCCACCTGACACTTCCAGAGCATCTGTGGGTATCCACTGTCACATGGACCATCCCGGAACTCCGCCAACGAGGTGGTCCAGATCTGGATCCTGTAGGCTTTTCTGTGTTATGAGTGGTCACATTGGTGATGGGTACCCTTGTCATGGTGGTAAGGCCAAGCCTACCCTTTTTAAAGAAAAAGAACCTTCCAAAGCCTTCTGTCCTCTGTGAAATCCACTTTAATGAGCAGTCATAGCCTTAGTAGCTGTTTGCACATTTGATGGGAGTAATGTTTCTGTGTTCCCAGTCTATGTGTCCTTGTGTCAGGCAGGAACAAGTGGCCTCCTTCAGGTCAGCATCTAGACATTTGGGAGGTCGTGGGTCTCCTCTAGGGTACCAAGTGCTTGGTTCCTATAGGTCCCTGAAGTGCTGGGGTCAGAGCTGGTTGAGGGCATAGGCTCGGGCTGCACTGAGGGCAGCGTCCAGGTCTGCAGTGCTTCCGGTGCCCTGGGCCACCACATTCGAGCCCCAGGCCCTGCCTCCCATGTGGCGGCACACAGCCAGAGCCCAGGCCTCTGCTGAGAAGGCAGGTGTGGCACCCTGGGGACAGACAGAGTTAAAGGCAGGTGATGTGGAGCAGCCCCAAGGGGCCCCTCCACCCCATCACAGTGGCTGGGCCAGTGAGCAGCTTTGCAGGGATGCAGGGAAGCAGGTCTTAGGCAGGGGTGATCAGGGGATCTTGCAGTGCATTCTGGGTTGGAGAAGGCTGTCTTTAGGGACAAGGAGCTTGCCCTGTCCCTGGCCTGGCCGTCCTTAGAGGTTTCCACTCCTTGCCCCAGTCCTTGTTTGGGGGTGGTGGTGTGAGTGTGGAACCCGAATCACTGGCCATGCTCCCTTACCTGGGCCACCTGGCAGGCACATAGGACACTGCCCACTGGCTGGGGACTGAGGAGGAGCACAGAGGTTCCTGGGGCGAGCTCACACAACTGCCGCACCACCTTCACCAGCATCTGGGAAAGGGAGGGCATGGGTGACCCTGCCCCAAGGACATGTTCCCTCCTCCAGCCCCTGCACTCACACAGACCGAGAGGGACTCAGCAGAGACAGTGTCCACGATCAGAGGCCCCTTTTCATGCCGCCTCAGCAGCTCCTGGGACTTCACAGCAGCCTGCAGAGTGGAGGGACACAGGATGAGAGGGCTGATCTGCTATCGCTCCCATGTCGGAACCCAACCCTCACCCCAGCCCTGCTGTCCCTCCCCAGAGAGGCATGGCTTGCTGGCTCCTCTCTCAGGTACTACTGTCTCCTTTCCCCACCTCGCCTGTTCCCTTCCGTCACAGCTCCTGGCCCTACAAACAGGTCCCCACAGGTGAAAGGGGGCAGGCCAGCTGCAGGCGGCAAGGAGCAGGCAGAGGTGGGTGCTGCTCACAGTTGAGAGGCCTCAGGAGGGAAGGCTGCAGCAGAGACACTATGTGGGACCAGCCTGGTGATGGTCCTGACCGGCGAAGGAAGAAGAGGCTACCACTCATGGACCACCTGTGCCCTCACCTGACCCAGCTCCAGCTTGCGGATGGTGGTGTTGGCACGGCGCTGCAGCAACTTCAGCCTGGCCTGCAGTGCCCTCCGCTGCCACTGAGGCATCATGGCATTGTCCACAGCCTGTGGCCAGGGGTAGAACTGTCACCTCTGCTGTGTCCCCAAGCTACCCCACCGAGGGTGGGCAGTGGCTCCATGGCAGGGTGGCCCTCACCTCTGTGAGTCGTCCTATGTCCTTGGACAGCTGCTGAGCCTCCGCCAGGTTCCTGGTGCCCTGACTCAGACGCTCTGCAGCTGCGTCCACCTCCCTGGCCAGGCTCTCGCCCACTTCTCGGGCCTGCAGGGTGGGGACAGGATAGTCAGGGCCACCTTAGGGCAGGGGCTTGCAGCCACTGCTGGTTAACACCAAGTCAGAAATGTGGAAGAGTCGGGTATGATCATGGCACCAGCGCTATGGTAACAGATGCCAGTTGCCAACAGCTGGCACAGCCACACCAGTGTGCCAATGTATGTGCACCCATGCTGGCTGTGCGGTTGGAATCCCTGAGCCTGGCAATATCTGCAGTGTGTGGCCCCTGCCCCATCCACACTCGGAAGTCTCCTGGGCCCACTAGTGTGCTGACCTGCTGGGCCTGCTCCCCAGTGACAGCCAGCAGGCGGGTGGTCCCCTTGGTGAGCTGATGCTCCCCAGTTATAACCAGGTCCCCCACAGCCCCTGTGCGAAGCAGGTGCCTGTGGGTGGGAGGGAGAAGTCAAGGGGATGAGGGAGTAGGGAGAAGCCTGGGCCTTGGGCCAAATGCTATGTAGCTCCACAGACCAGGAAAGGCACAGTCCAGGGTAGCAGGGGATGACTCACGTCCCACAGCAGAGCTCCACAGAGGCCTGTAGTGCAGCCTGGGACATGGGGTCCAGGGCACAGGCCACAGGCACCCCAACTGACACCACCCGCACAGGGTCTGGGTACACCTGCAGTGGAGGAGCTGGGCTATAATGGCTTGTGGAGGACAGGTATGACCCGCTGGGGATGTCAAGGACAGCCATTGCCACCAAGAGGGTGGCCCTGCTCACCTCTTCGAGGGATCGCAGCCCCGGAATGCAGGCAGTGAGTTCCAGAGGTACCTCCTCCATGTACACGGGCTTGTCCTGCTGCACAGCCTCCTGCACGGTGTCCTCTATGGTCCTGAGCTGCTCTGGGGTCAGGGGGGACTGGGGCAGGGGGAGACTAACAGCGTCAGCCCCATGCATGTCACTCTCATGTTCCCGGGACTGTCCCCAGGCCCCGGGGCATGGCTGGCATGGGACAGTGGCTCTGTAAGCAGGGCAGAAGGCTCCAAGAACTTGTGAGAGGGGCCTGTGGGAAGCCGCAGGCCTTCACTGGGCACCAATCACTTGGCAAAAGCCACCAAGAGGAGGCTGTGTCCTCAGGGAGCTTAGACCAGGTGGCTTGGCAGGGGGAATGCAAGAGGGGGCTGTGGGCACAGAGCAGTCAGATGCCACAGGACCTGTCAGCTAGATGTGCTCGGAGCCAGGAGATGGGATGAAAGAGAAGAAGGTGGTTGGGTCTGACCAAGGCTGGTTTGGGGCAGCAGCAAAAGCATGCTGGTGGCTATGGGTGAGGAGAACCACACAGCAGGACTTCAGGAGGTCACCATGGCTAGCCTGACTCCTTACTGGCAGGAAGAGTCTGGGAAAGGGGCTTCTAGAGAATCACAAAGACCAAACAGCAGTGCCTGGCCCTTAGCCTGGTCATTCTGCCCCATAACATTGGGCTTACCTGGGTGGCCACGTCAAAGCGCAGCCGTTCAGGGTTGAGGTGGGAGCCCCGCTGTTCCACGTTGGGGCCCAGGGTCTCCCTCAGTGCCCAGTTCAGCAGGTGGGTAGCTGTGTGCTTCTCCATGCAGCTCAGACGCCAGTCCTAAAATGCTGCTGTCACTCAGGGGCCTGGGTGGGGCTGGGTGTGGGGAATGGGAGGGCGAAGAGGCTGCAGAGACTGAGGCCTGCGTGATGGGACTCTTACCTCATCCACGTGCAGCTGCACCAGGTCCCCCACCTGTAGGTGCTCAGAGGCCAGCACCTCGTGCAAGACAAAGCCCCCCCAGACCTGGGCCTGGGTCACGGGGAACAGCACATCCTAGGAAGGACAGGGCAAGACACAGATTGACTGCTTGTGACTTCCCTGGCCCTGGCCCAGTGTGGCCCCAGCCTGTTCCCATAGCCATTACCCTGGTGTGGGGACACTACCTGCTGCTCTATCCGCACCAGATAGCCCCGGTCTGAAGCCTGGCCACCCTGTTCAGCGTAGAAGTTGGTCCTGTTTAGAAGGAGACCGCAGCGCTGGCCTGGACCCACACTGGCTACAGCAGCCCCATCCTCTGTGTACAGCTGCAGCACCTGGGCCTCACAGGGACCAAACTCTGCAGGGTGCAGAGGGCTGTCAGTGCCAAGTGGGAACTAGGGGCATGGCCTGTGGGTCTCCACAGTGAGCCCTAGAGGTGACCTTAGCAAGCCTGTGCCCTGGGGACCGATCCTGGCTCTCACCATAGTTCCCAGTGGACTGCAGGGAGTAGCTGTACTTGGGGCTGTCATCGGTAGGGGACACCCCACGGTGCTGCAGCTCTGCAAGCGCATGGACATCAAGGCGCAGTCTCTGCTCCTGAGCTGGCTCAGCCTGGCGGCCCCGAAGCTACAAAATACAAGTGCAGGGCACAGGTGTCTGGAGAGCTGGTCCTCATGGGCCCTGCACCCTTGGGCTGGCTGGAAAAGCAGCCATGGGCTGGGCACCCTGGGACCAGGCCTCCTGCCTGCCCCTGCTGTCCCCTGGCCCCTCTCCAGGATGCTATGCTGCCCTATCCTCTGCTTCCTCCCTGTAGGCTGTGGCAGGGCTGGGGGCTCCATCCGATCATCCCACAGAGCCCAGGGCTGGGCAAGGGGCCGATATATCATGTGTCCCCACCCATACCTGGGCCTCCTCCTCCACCAGCTGTGCCAGCCTTTCAGAGTCCAGATGCACGCCCTTCTCTGCCAGCATCAGCTCCACCAGGTCTAGGGGGAGCCCTAGGTTCCCAGACATAGACAGGGACCAGGCCACATCAGCTTTAGGGAAGGAAGACAGTCTGTTAGGGATAGGCAGGGACAAAAGAAGGGGGAAAAGTGAGGGGAGGGGAAAAGATGGGGCTCTAACCATGCAGGCAGATGCCATAGAAAGGGGAGCTGGCATGTGTGGGGCAGAGTGGCTGAGAGCATGGATGGGGCCAGCAGGGCAGAATTCTCCCTGCACATGGCACTGTGTGTTGGAAGGAGAGGACTCGTGGGTGGGGGTCAGGAGAGATGAGCTGGCCTGGAGCCCCATCCTGTGCCTGGCCATGTCTGTGCACTCCTCGCCTTTGCCAGGTCCCTAACTCACCAGGGAACAGGTCAGAAGGCCCCAGACGCTTCAAGGTGCGTTCAATGATCCGCCGGCCCCGCTGCAGTGAGTCCAGGAAGGCGGCCTCTTCCTCTGACACCAGGCTGGCTATCTGGCCAGGCAGGAGGCAGTGGAGCTGGATGCCCCTCAGGGAGCACCTCTCTCCACAGCTCTCTCATCCCCACGGTTTCCTACCTGGGCTGAGTTCCTCCGCAGTTCTGGATACGTGTCTCCCTAGGGAAGGACAGGTGACAGATAACAGCCCATTGCATCTCTC